TCATAGGCTCACATGCAGGCTTGTTACGTTATATTGCGTGTATTGATGGATTCTGATACTCCTGTATTTAATATTGAGAGTGTTACTGGCTCTGATGGTAAGCCTGACCTCTTGATCAGGTTTGATAGGAATAAACTGGAGACCATTGCTAAACCTGTCATTGGAGAATTCTTAAATAAACTGCAGGTATGTAGTTTAGGCATTTAGTGCATGATCATTCCTTTAATTCCCTGTTTATTGTTTGTACCATTAATTCTACCATTGTTTACATAATAATGCTTTACTAGAGGGTTCGTTCAACCGTAAGCAACTAGCTTATATCTACATGCATACCCAATACATAGGTAGAGCCAAAGTTGGTTTCTGTTTTGTTGTATTCCCATTCGTAATTGGGACATGTTCATTGTTCATCACTCAATGCTATTATGATAAAGATGTTCCTTTTTCTAGATCTACAAGTCTACATCAGATGTTAGCTCAGGACAGTTATGGTATAATAAATATTCAACTGTTACTGATGATCATTTGATGTTAAGAGATATTGTAATGGCTAGGAAGATGCCTAGAAGGTTATTTGTACAGCCACACACTTCATTTGATACTGGTAAGCAGGAGATGGGGGATGAGGGATGTTCTTAGTCCTACCTTGTAAAAAATAAGGTCTATCATTAATTAACCTGCCTGACCAATGGGCTGGTTTATTTGCATAGGGCATGCCGTGAATATTGTATAGAGTTTGATCATAGGTTGTGTTCATTTCTTTCTTTAGATGGTTCTGTTGTTCTTAATGAGTTTGATAGTTCATTTGAAGGAATCATTTCCTCATTTTTAGCAAGATATCCTAACTATGATACTGAACTGGAGTCTCTTTGGAAAAATGATCAGCATTATTGGAAACAAAAATAGACATAATACATAATACATTTGATACAAATTAAAGAACTAGAAATTTACTTGTGTGTGTATATCAAGTATAATTATAGTGATTAATTGTCACATTGTGTTGCCATGTGCATGTCACAGTATTATTGTGCAGTGAAGTAATGTGAGAGTTGGTGGCCTTTCCAGTGATCCAGCAGTTATACAACACAGTTTTTGGGTATTTTGCTGTGCTGAGATGCAATCTAAATAATGAAAAGAATAGACTATCATAACGCAAAAGTTTAATAGGCTGCTGTTTTTCACTGAATTCTTTCCATGCAGCCTGCCCGGGCCATGCATTCATTAGTTTACAACTGTTCACTTTGCACTAACCATTTCACATTTCCTGTAACAGTAGCTGGTCTCCTGCTCAGATTGCACTAAGAACTGACAGTGAGCATCTGGTGGCGGGTCCCTCTTGTACCAGAGAATATCACCAGCAACAATAACGGCGGGTGAGATTGCTGCTCTTCCAGCGGTTTCTTGCACTGGAGCTCGAGGAGGAGCTGCCACTTGCTCCAATAAAGCTCTTATTCTTCTCAGCAACATTATAAGTAGGCACCACTGATGCATGCACTTGCCAGTCTCGCGCAGCTGTAGGCTGGGGAATTGTCTGTGCTTGAATCGCTTCAGTCGCCTCTTATAATATATACTAAATGAGTGAAAGGGAGAAATCCCTCATACCATATATGGTAACCCTATTATGTGTCATTTGAATGGTGTTGGACATTGTGTCACAGAATAGCATATTATTCTTCCTTTCTCTCTTTTTCTGCTGCAGCTTTTATTTGTATTTCAAATTTGAATTCAACTATACTTGTCCCGGCACAGGCATTCATGCATGGCATATGGTATGTATCTGAGTTGCATTAGAATAATCATAATACGGCATGGCATACCTTGAAGCCACTTATTTTTAAGTAGACAAATTTTTGTGATTTGTTAATGGTACTGATTTAGTGCGTACTAATTTTTTGCGATTTTGCTCTTTTTTCCCAATTAATAACTGTTAACAAGAGTACATAAGCCTAAATTATTAATAAATGCAAGTACTAATTTTTGCGATTTAAAAGCCACTCACAAAAAATAGTACTCACAAATAATAGTGGCTTCAAGGTATACATTATAGTATCAGATATTACATTGGTTGGATTCCATTATTTGTTTTGATAGTAACATTATATATACCTAATTCAAGTGGAGCTGCTTGACCACTTTTGTCTGCTGATTCACTAGCACCTTATGGTAATGTTGGTTTATGACGTCACTACAAAATATTTAGCAGTAGTGAATATTTTGTAAATCAAAGACATACCAGCATGCATTAATAATAAGTTAAGATGGTGGTTGTACAAGCTCTTTAGAGACAAGATGATTATATATCTTTCTAGTTTTATTTACATCAATACGACACAACTTCCTAGCATCCATCAGACATAGCTTCCCTCCACATTTCCTACTCTCAGCAATCATTACTCCTTTACAGTGTAAATATACATCAGGTAATATACGATGGACTGAACACATCTATATAAAAAGGAAAGAGGAATCAGTGCAGACATTGCATCAGTTACTCCAAAATCATCTATAATAAGTATTTATTTATGCATGAGTATGAATTACATCTTAAGGGCCACATCATTAATACAATAATGACTAACATGTCACATGAACAAAATCTAATGACTCAGAAACCATTCC